TTTGGTCCTTCAGATTTCATTTGATTTTCAATTTTTAGCAGGTTTACCAATGAATTTTTTAATTATCCGCGCAAAACAAACTCACCCCCCCCCAAAAAAAGTGAATGTTGCCAAGCCCTCCCAGCGGCCATTTTTCAAATGACATCCCTCACCTTCCTGGGGCTCTTCTGACTAATTTTCAATCCCATATTTGTCTGCTTTGCCCCCAGATGGGTGCCCCTGAATCTACAGAGATGATCCTGAGCCATACTGACACAATTCCACCATTTCTTGGCCCAAACAGACCCCTCTTTTCGAAACAATCTCTGGGGGTACTTTTGTGCGCCTCGGCCTGGCGGAGAATTTTCCTTGAATTTGGACACTGCACCCTGGAATAAAAACCAACACAAATTGGCAAACCGACAGATTGAAGGGAGAATTCTTGGGGTGGTATGATGTTGCGTATGTTGTTCTAGATTTGTATTTTGTTTTTCATCTTGTTTCGATATTTCACGGAGTTTGCTAGTAAACGTGAGTGGTAAGGTAATTTTCATTTTGGGGTAGGGAAGGCTTATGTTTCAATCCTCTACAATGTAACTCAGCTAGTAATTATGTTGTGTTAACAATTCAAAGCTTAGCATGTTGTGGTGCCTATTACTTGAACAAAGACTTGTTGATGTACTCATAAATTTAAATACAAAGACACCTTTGGGTTTGAAGAACATGACGCCAAAACACGTTTATCTCGTGGTAACGCTCTTTCAACAACGAAACACGTTCACCTCAAAAGAGGTGGTTGAATTTTAAATAGTTACATAGACTTGTTAAACGCAAAGACGCCTTTATAATGGACATTGGTTTGTACAATGCTGATTGAGGAAGTGTCCAAATCAATTGGCTTTCCGCCATGAGTTGAAGTGCGCATTCATAGGCAAAAGAAAGACAGTCAGGTACAAAGTTTTCCAACTGGGTTCTTGCATTCATGCAAAGCCACGCATTCCAGAAAATAAACTCGTTGCCCTTTTTCATCGCGCCCTGCGTCAAACGCGCTTAAACATGCGAGCCTATGCGGTGATTCCGTACCAAAGGACTGTCAATATTACATTTAGATAAAACACACCCCCTGTTTTCCCGCTGGGAAAGGATAGGCCGGCAGTAACACGTGTGTGTACTGAAGTTGGCTCCAGCCACTTGCCATTAGCTAGTGCGAGCGCGTGTGTTATAGCCTATCGGACCACAGTCGCAACTTTTGGGACAACGCCTCAGATAATGGCCCAAAGAGGGTAAACAGAGATATGACTGCTTACTTAGAACGTCTCAGAATGAATCGCGCGAAGAAAGCATTTAATTTGCTAAGACGCAAGAAGTCCTGATTGTATTGGGCACAGACACAGTATTGTATTGGTGTACGAACTGCGCTATTTTTGTTCCCTTCAGGCGAACGCGTACTTTTTGAAATCACTATGTGAAGAAAATTTATCGTATACAAGTGATGCTCTTTTTAGCGCTTGCGCGATGAATCCTACTTACAGGGCATTAGCAAATAATGAAAATGATTCGCCCGGGGAAGGGCGGGACTCTGAACTAAAACGATTTTAAGTTGCTAAGCAGAAAAGATTACTTTGTGAGAAGGTGAGGGCAAC